CCCATCATGACCATAATGTTCCAGCCCATCCCCGTGCCCGTAGACCCCACTCCCCCCCATAACCTCTGCTCTCTCTGGCAGGCCATTTAAATCAAGCATTCTAGGACTGGAGGTAGGCCTGGGCCCCCTAACACTTCTGCAATAGCGCTCGATGTAGGCGGCACCAGGCTGTAATCCCAGTCATTTCAAACATACACATTCATTCATCCAAGCAGTCCCCACGTAGCAGTTAAAAACACAGAATACAATGATAATAGGTTAATAAAAAAGTGGGATCATTCACTCAATCGCATACATATCACATACACTCACCATACGAATTAAAAAATTGCGCAACTGTGCAAAATTCGTACAAGGCTTGTACTAATATGAGAGAGGAGGTCTTAATGTTCTTAATCTTCTCCTCTGCAGAGTCCAGCAAAGGTCCAAAAGTCTGAAGTGATTGGAAGATTAATGTCGGATGTGGGGAGATACAGAGCAGGCTCCCTGCCCACGTCATCTTCGTCCCTTGCTTTTTCTTTCTGCAAAGATTGAGGTGCAGAATAGTATGAAGGGTAATATACGGGAGTCTCAGCGAGGCCAGAAGTGGGTTCAAGAATCCCCGCTCACTCTGAAATGGTGGTCCTGAGGACGAAGGCAGGGGCAGGGGTGGTCGGAAGGCAAAGTAACCATGGATAGCAGCGGCAGCGGCAGCGAGAGCCGAAAGGCCGGTCATGGTGGTCAAAGGCCAAATGGTGGTCAAAGGTGGTCAAAGGCCGAATTTGCAGCAGTCAGTCCACGGGAATAGTCGTACCAACCCCCCTGGCAGTCCGAATCCAAAGCTGAAAAGAGCTGCGTCCACAGTGGAGTGGGGGGGCGCCCCACTCAACAGCTTAGCCGCGGTGTTCTCAGAGCGGCCTCAGCGAGCCAGCGGGAGTCGTAGCAGGGTCTGGGCGGCAGTCGTAGCAGGGTCTGGGCTCCCCCAAAACAGCTGGGCCACGGCGTCCTCCGAGCAGCTGAGCCGCGGCGTTCTTACAGCGGCATCAACGAGCCAGCGGGCTAGCGAGCCAGCAAACAGCACAGCGGTGGTCGCAGCAGCCAGAGCAGCATTGCGGGAAGATCAAAGCTCCCCCCGCAGCTGGGCCACGGCGTCTTCCGAAAGCTGAGCCGCGGTGTTCTCAAGTCGGCATCAGTGAGCCAGCGGCACAACGGCAGTCGTGGCAGTCAGGGCAGCAGTTGCAGGAGGGTCGGAGCTCTCTCAGACCAGCTGGGCCGCGGTGTCTTCCGAGCGGCGTCGGCGTCTTTCCCAAACGGTAGCCTTGGAGAGCAATATCTCTCCAGTTCACCAGGTCCCCGAAAAATACCTCGTACCTTGGCCTCTCTCCGGCTCAATTTCTGAGCTCAATTACTCCTCTTTACTGGCTGTTTTTCTTGTACGGGGCCGGAGCGGTGAGCTTGGTAGACATGTATCTCGCACATGTGCAAACCTGCATAGCTGAGTCTTTGCAGAACAATCTTCTACAATCTCATCATTGTGGTGTCCTTTTTCGTTCCATACATGTGATGATTAAGGTGACGATTGACACCTGTGGCCTAACAACAGCATGGTACACTATTCAGAAACTGCTGCTTTTCTGAAGTGCTTCCTAGAATTACCATGTAAAAACAAGCAAAAAGTAAATCAAAAAAGTAAATCCAGTCCCACCCTTTATATCTAAACAGTTTCTAAAGCAGACAATTAAATCAATCAGATTTCCATTTTTCTCTATATCCCTACTTCCTGAATGACTGGCTTTATCATTTCAATAAAAGGGTCCAATCCAAAAATATCATAAGATGTTTCACAACCAGTGAAGTGATCCAAGATGCTTGTGTGAATAAGTGCACAAGCTTGTGCTACCTATTGTCAGCCCTTGAGAAGCTCACTTGACAGATTGTTGAGCAACTCCCTTGTGTTCCCCAGAAATGTGTGTATCCATGAGGCACCTGTGAGAGATCATCCAAATGCATCCAACCATACATAAGATATTGATAGCTCCTCAATTACAGTTAGATCAGGAAATCATCTAACATTCCTAATAAAGGAATGAGGCAGTGACGTGCGGTGAGGTTTATGGCTAATGAGGCACTGACACAGTGGTGGGTTTCAAATTTTTTTAGACTTGTGGACTTCAATTCCC